CCACATCCCTAAAAAGGAAGGAACAGAAGATGGTGCCCCCCCTGTTCCAAGTCCAAATGCAAGTGGGATTAGCTGTTGTGTCTTTTTTCAGCACTGGCAAAAGGGCTACACCTGAAGGTGTCAGTCTAATTTGGGAGGCACAGAGTGACAGCAAAGGCACCCAACTCTTTACTTTGTACTGCTTTTTCCCAGCAACTGCCCCAACTGCTTCACTTTGGCCAATAATAGAAGGACCCAACACTTGGGACCAAAGCAGGAGATGTCACTGGCAAGGAGCAGAACAACAGCTCAGAGCTGGTCAGCATCTGACGCATATTGCAATGCTGATACCATAGCAGTTGTGCTGTTATTGGTGGGGCAGGGGGAAAGGTGGGGCTCTTATGGGGAGTCACAAGGAAGGGATTAATTCTGTCAGAGGGTATAGGCTCTGGCAAATGCTTCAGGGTGCCAGATGCACACGTCTCAGAAATGTGAAGAAATTGTAAAAAGACAGGAGGAGAGGTGAACGCTTACCCACACACCATTTTTAGTTGTGGTAGTTTTTGCAATCTGGGCTCTGTCCATGTCTCCAGCTTCATTTTTCCCTGTGAAAATAATTTTTGTAGAAAACAAAAGGGGGACCACGTCGGATGAGCAGCACGGAATACGTGGAAAGGTAAATGTGGCCAGTACGGTCCTTTCCAAAGAGGGCTCCAGACCATGTGCGGTAGAGAAGATGGCCCAGCTTGAACCAACAGAGCCTTCAGGATCAGCAAATGGCTCCAAGGATTGCCCAAGACAAAAAGAAACTGGGAACAGGGGCACTGTCCAGAAGGATGACCTTTTCTGCCCAAGCGGTGGCAATCTGACGGAGACCCAAAATATGGACAAAGAAAAATCTCCCCAAAAGCAGGTGACTCCAAAATGGAAAGGAGGTGAAAAAAGTATCTCCAGACTTGACACTCCTGCTGGGGAAGCTGTGTCTTCTACCTCAAAGTCTGGCTGTGAAGTTATAAGGACAAGGTAATTGGCAGTTCGTAATGTTCTACTCTTGGATACTGAGAAAGAAGGCTGCATTAGAGCAACGGTGCATCTCATTCCAGCACCATGCTTCCCACAGTCACCACCATGATGCTTCTGGGAAGCTGACAGGGAGAGCTTAAAAGAACTAGGTTTTATGGGTACTTCAGCATGATTAGTATTCTGTGGCCTACTGTCTATAAATGTGGAACCTCCAGTGATTATTTTCCTTTGAGGGAAAGCTAGTTTAAAGCTAGTTAAGCCAGTGACTATGATTTTTCCTGTAGCAGCAATTGTTATAAAGTTAACTGCATTCTGAGTAAATAAAAGATATTTTAAATGTAAGGAGAAACTTCATGATGATCAAGCTGTATAACACTCTAGCTACAAATGTTGTGGGTTCTCCATCCCTGGAGGTTTTTAAGAAGCAGCAATTGGACCACCTCTTAAGGATGGTTAAGTTGGCTTTCCTGCCCTTTGCAGAGGGTTAACTGGATGATTCTTGTGGTCCCTTCCAACTCTACAATTCTATGATTCTATAAATACTTTTTAAAATCTATTCCCACCTTATTATATCATGTGAATCAGCAGTCCCAAGGAATACAGTAAAATAAAATTCTAAGTAACTCTTTGGATCCAGATTTAAGTATTTCCTTCATTGAAAGTTCTCAACAACATTACTGGCAAGGGAATCTATCAGCGCCTGCTATATCCTGACAAATACTTTGCAACATATAGTAACTCCTATGCTTGTCAAGCTAGCACCTTACAATGCGACAGTGCTACCTTACAATATATTTTATATAATATTTCATATTTTATATAAACATACTTGCAATATAGTTTGATTCAGCACAATCATCTCCTGGACTTTAGGACTTACAGGAGGTGCGCTGCCTAAAAATAGAGTTCTGCCCAAGTGGAAATACATAGAGCATAATCTTCAGAAAAAGAATCATTGCAGATAGGAAGGAGAACCCTTCTTCTTCTTTTTTTTCCTAATTCAGTTTTCCAAACTGGGGAGTCACAAGGTATTTTCAAGAATGGGGTTGAAGACTCTAAAAGGAGAAACTGATGAAACCTCACGAGATCTGGCAGCTGATAAGATTTAGGGTGATCCTGAGGTGAGGGTTGTCCGGGCTATTGTCTGTGAATGGGCAAAGGTGGCAAGAGCCCGAAAAGATGATTGACTCCGATGGTAGATCCAAACATGATCTTCTTTACTAAATCAAACGGTAGCTCGAGTGATTACTTTTGATACGGAGTTAGTGTCCACTAGGGGGAGTCAACAGACACAAAAACAGTGCATTAGAACTGGACACACTGAAAAACCCATCTCTGTATTTTACAAATAGTACTTTTTCCGAGGGGAAGAGAGTGTTAAGCAGGTACTGTGAAACACCCCATCCGATTCAGTCTGCTTAATATTCTCTTCCACTGGAAGCAAAGCAATACCTGCCCTCGGTGTGAAAATACAAAATCCAGGCATTATTGATTGTTGTCTGTGATATTGAGTGGAATAAAAAGGCCTCATTAAAGCAATGAGCAAAAACACGAAAGGCTAAGAATCTAATGGCAAAATCAGTGGTTCATTTCATGTAGCACCCTAGTAGCGAGTTAAAGAAATGAAATTAACTACTGTGACTTAGTGGTTAGGCTGCCCAATGTTTTTCCCCCAAGACCAAGCCATATCCTTCAATGAAACAGAGTCACCTACCTCGCCTTCCTCCAGTTTTTCTTAAAACAGCTGGATTCTGGATTCTTCAACTTAGAGAAATGTCACAAGAGAGACATTTTAGACCCATGGAAGGGAGATAGCTCAGGGCTGGCATGGCATATCTGCAGAAAGTCTCAACTTCAGTCTCTGGCATCTCCAGTTAGGTTCAGAGAAGGCAGATGCTGTCAACCTGCAACAACCCTAATTTCAAAGTTTCTACACTAGAAATAACTTCAGATCTTTGGTGAGAGCTATTGGTCCTCTCCTGTTGGCCTACTGCTTGGTAAAAAGAAAAAGAAAATAATCCACTTTTGTTTCTGGCTCTACTCCCTGGTTGTTCAGCCCCACCCATCATGCAGCCTGGATGGAGAACACCTGAGGGAATGCAGACTTCAACGGAGAATGGGTGGCCCACCTGTAAGTTAGGAGGAGATATGAAAAAATTCTGCTAAAGAGATTGAGAGCTGCTGCCAACCAGAGTAGTCAATCTAGGATGAAAAGGACCCTCGAGCTATTTTATAAACATGTCCATATCCCTGAGCACATCTGGTAGATGTGCAAGACAGTTTTCTACTACATGATCTATATTGCCCTTCCTCAACCAGGTGCACTCCAAGTGTTGGAATGTAATTCCCATAATCACTAGCCTTGGGCAGTGTGGAGAATGTGGGTTGAAACATGACACTTTTGAAGTCTGCCAGATCAAGGAAAGCTGTTTCCTGATTCCTGGAGTAAAATCTTGATTAAATTAAGAAGCTACAAGGAGAAATCTAAACATGATTCCTTTGCAGGCCTTCGGTCATTGCCCAGATGAATGATGCTCAAGACAAGGCTTTGAAAGGCAAAGAAGGAAGCATTGGCAGCTCTGGAGGTAAACGTGGTGGAGCATTGGTTCCCCTTTCCCTGCGGCCAGTAGGTCAAGGAGGTAAGCATTTGCAGGAACCTTCTAAAGTTAAGGAGCCCTCAAAGGACAACAGGACTGAACCCACGCAAGAACTGAAAGGAGTCCATTCTTTCAATAAGTGGAGTGAGCAGATTCCCAAACTGGCAGGTCCTGCTTCAGCAGCACCACTTGCAAAGGCTGAAGGCAAAGGAGAAGATCAATGCAAAGGTCTCTCATGTCCAAGTTCCACTGCAAAAGACTTTGGCAAAGATCTAGGAGGCTCGGGAAAAAGCCCCAAGGAGACAGCAAAGATAACAAAAGACATCAAAACAGAAACTGTAGAACCACGGAGAGCTTCTTTAGTGAGGCGAGAGAGCAGATCCAGACAGGGGGCAGGGAAACTTTCAGAGATTACTCCATTTGTAGGAGCCAGCCAAGTGGAAGAGATGGTCATTGGTAAGTAATTGCTTCTGGATCATTTGAACTTTCTCTCTTGGGTTGCGTTGACATGATAAATGCAAAGTTTTTGGAGAGTAATTTTAAGTATACAGAACAGGGGATGGACTCTGTGGTCTATAGAGCCCTCTCCAATTCCTATGATTTTAAGGTATGTTTCGCTTCAGAAGCTTAGTTGCAGGTCAGATTATCACAGCTGGTGAACTGGGGAAGTTGTGTCTGGAGAGGACCATGACAGATGTGATTGGATGGTTCTCCAGAAAATGGAAAAGAAGAAGAAGGGCACATTGGGACAAAAGCTAGCTTAGAAATGTTCTCCTTGAGGTGTAGACTGGATTTATTCTAAGCCATGGTTTGTTTTATAACCACATTTGCTGGGTTTGTACATTATACTAAACCAAAATCAAACCACATTACCATTTAATGCAGTATGGGAACCTGAAAATGAGAATTGTGAACTATAATTTATAGCATATTGTTATGAGTGAACCAAGTTGCTAGGGTTTATTAAACAGCTATGTTTTTTAAAAAATCACAGCTTTCTGTGATGTTTGAAGCCAACTGTCTACGCAGATGAAGTTTTCAGAGTTTTGTGTAAGATTTGTACTTGCTGCAGTGCCTGAAATAGTTGGATTAATAACATTATCAGCATTTGCAAAATGAAACCTAAAAGCCATATATGGCTATTCGTTTGTGTGGCTTGCCAACAAGTTATACCTACCATTTTCTTCCCTTCTACCTACATCATTGGAAATGCTGCGGATAGTTTCTGACCCACTCATTGTATTTTATATCTCTCCATCTGGAGAAATGAAGATGCTGATGAAAGATGTCAAGTTGATGTGCAACTGTTTGTTGCAAGCAAAATCAATGTCATGCTGTCATGTCATTCTCCTTCAGATGACAGTCCTCCTCCTCCAGCCCCTTTTGAACATCGCATTGTGAGCATCAAACAAACTGAGCTAACAGCTTTTTACACAGTAAGCCATGATGAAGTTTTGGGAGGGTAAGTTTCATTACAGCATGATCATGAATCAGAGTATCTTGGAAATAATTTTTTATACTCCAGTTGTATAAAGAAGAGTGTTATTTTGAAGTGGTGGTTTATTTTTAAAGTCTGCTCTAAGACCATCTACAAACATTGGTATTGTCTTTACAATGGTGGTTTGCAAAGGCTGTTTTTGCATGACATGTTTAGCCAGTTCAATGCAGGTCACAGCACATAGAATGTAAGATTTATTTCAGAGAAAGTGTTTAAATAACATACTTAACCAGGTCAGTGAAAGTCCTAGCAACTACATTCACACAAGATGCTAAACTTGGTTAAGCTTAACATAGGCTATTTGGATTTGCTATGGTTAGGCTTGGTTAGACGTAACATAGGCCATTGCATAGCAAATCCAACTTTTTTGTTAGTTTAGGTATCTCAAGGTGTTGTGCAAAACCAGAAAATTGGTTAGTTCAACAACCAAACTAAGTGTGTTGCACAAACTCAGCCCATACTGGCTGGGAGAAAGGTTTGCTCACACTGAAGACTTGAAACAGAGGTGTGAGGTTGTAGAGGTTGGGATGAAGCCTGTGCAGTTGTCCATTCCACACCAGAGGAGACCTAGCTGTGTGTTGAAATCTCCTTGGCAGAACACCCTCACAAATATATATTGGAGGTATGGTAGAAACCTGATATGGGAAGAAGAGTGCGGGTGGAACTGTTGCTTTGATCTAATGACACTTTCTTGGGTAGCCTGGAGAGGAGATACATGTCATCTGTGCTGCCATAGTTTTCTTCTAATGGATAGAAGATTAATATCACAAATTCTGTTTGGCAATGTCAGCACACACTTCCCTGTACAAGAGGATTATTGGTATTGGGTTTACATTTTTGACCTTAGAAAAGTGGCCACTTGTATAGATTTGTTACAGTATCAGGGCTATATTCAGGGCTATCTGATGAAGTTGCCTGTGATCTATGAAAGTTTATGAAACAATAAACGGATCTGTTTGTAAGACACCAAAAAACACGTCCTTATTTTTGCCTAAATCCAAACTCTTTGCTGTTTCTGCCCTGCACGGGTGCATAGGAACACATTTCTAGTGATCGGCCACTTCCAAATGGACCTACAGGGGATCACTGTGCAACTTGTATAATTTTAATGTCGTTATAGTACTGATTTTTTCCCATCACCTAGAAGTTGTAACATGGGATGGAGACTGCCTAATTCTAGTTGTTGGCTTTTGCATAATTTAGAAAGTGACCAGCACAGCCCAGAATTATTCCCTCGTTTCAGTAATTCATTGCTCAAGTACAACAGGCAAGGCATGGACGTTTACAGAACCAACCACAAGCCACCTCCAGGTTGTCATATTTCACTCCACAATGAAGGAATACAACTGGGGAGTAATATTTTAACATAAGCACTGAACAACTGGCTGGAAAGATCAACCCTAATCCCTCCTAAGCTGGGAGAAAGAAGATCTTCTAGACTCCTGACCTCTTGATTCCGTTCGCTTTGTACCAGGTTATTTTTAATTGACGATAAGAATAGTTGGTCTCTGGAGGCGTCTGCAGGGAGTTGCCCCCTGCGCTGTTTTCCCTGTGGGCTTCATTGCTTTGTGTTCTCCATCTTTCAACAGGGGGCGTTTTGGTCAAGTTCACAAGTGCATTGAAAAGGCAACGGGACTGTGTCTTGCCGCCAAGATCATCAAAGTGAAATTAGCAAAAGAAAGGGTAATTATCGCCTCTTAAAATAAAAAGAAGACAAGCAGAAAACCAGGATAAAGAGTCCTCCTCTTTCAGCATTTTCTCTGCAAAGCGAGACCTTTTAGAACTAGATAGCTGAATGTAAGAGCGTAATGGTATGTGGGAATGACCTTAGGAGACGGGGGAAGAGATACTGCCTAGGGAATGATCCGATAAGAGGAGGCATAGCCCGGAGCTGCATAACAGACAGAGAAGGAAACTCAGAAAGGAACCTCCCTAACTTATCAGGCTGTAAAGGAGATGGCTAGAGATTTGTACTTTCAGATTTGCAAGATTCTGTTCATGTAGCCTTACAATAAAGTAGAATTACCTCATCTGTCATGGTTCCTGTCTGGTCTGCCTGAGAAGGCTGACAGAGCGCCAGTGTGGTCCGCTGGTTAAAGAGTTGGACTAGGAGCAGGTTTACCTCTATCAATCTGCACTGGACCAGTGTGGTAGATTACCGTCCATAACTTTCAATGAAGAAGCCTTCATTCTACAGTGGATTAATTCCAGTGGCTAATAATGATATAGAGATAGAGAGAGATAAAGATAGAGATAGAAATAGAGATAGATACATATGTATTTGTGTGTGTGCGCACCTTCTCTGTTTTTCTTTGTTTGTACATTCTCAGTTCTCACTGGGTTGTTGTTTTGCCTTCTTAGCTTTCCTTTGGATCTAAATGTTAATCATGCCAATCTGGAGTTCTCCCCATCAAGTTGTGTTGATATACTGTCTTTTGTTACTTGGCTAGATTTGAATTTGGAAGGAATAAGGTTAAGATAGTTCTTAACTCTGTACTCTGGCACCCTGGGTGAAACATTGGGCTCTAAATGGAGCTGGCAAATAAGATTACTATGGTAGACAGACTTTTCTGAAATATATCTTGATTATCCTCTAAAATACACCATACTGTAGTAGAAAAATTGCTGGAGAACTTTAGTACTGCACAGAACTCTACATCCTCCTTTTCCTGCTATCAGTATTGCTAATAATATGTTTCATTACTCATGTTGCAGGAAGAAGTGAAGAATGAGATAAATATCATGAACCAGTTAAGCCACGTGAACCTAATTCAACTCTACGATGCTTTTGAGAGCAAAAACAACCTCACCTTAATCATGGAATAGTGAGTTGCAAAGCATCTTTGAAGTATTTTTCAGATCTTTCAGAGCCTGGGATTCTTGAGCCAATTTGGTGGAAGTAGCTGGAAAGGTAGAATGTTTCATAACACGAGGTAGACTATATCATTAAATAAGTATTATGATTTTTAAATGAAAATATGAGCCAACAGACCCATTCAAGCCAGGTGAATTCAAAATATGGATTCTAGAGTCCTCTCCAAGAATGAAAAGAATGAAAACTGGTTACCATGCTGGCAGGGAATTATGGAGATGTAGTCCTAGCATATATGGAAGGCTTCAGATTGGAAACCTCTAATAAAGGGGTAACAATGACTAGTCAGGATCTTCAACTCATTTCCCAGCCTTCTGAACATCTGCAGAAGGCAACCTGATGATATCACTGGAAAGGGTGTTGCCAAAATGTTTCTGGCCAATTTGGGGGCCTTGAAAGGGGGGTTAATGCCCCAGTTCCCTTCCTCTAACCCAGTGTTTCTCAATCATGGCAACTTTAAGATGTGTGGACTTCAACTCCCAGAATTCCCAGCCAGCATGGCTGGCTGGGGAATTC